GGAAGTGTATAACTGATTTGATATACTTTATTTGGAAAAGAAACTACATGGAACAGAAATGGTGAAAATAGCAAACATGGAGAAAGAGAGAGTGGTCATTGCACATTTAAAACTTTATAAGTTAAAGATACAAGAGTGAGAAATTATAGGAGGAAAGCCATATTAGTCTATGTGGCAAAAAATCAGGAGTCTGGTAGCACCTTTTCTGACTATCAGATTTTATTAAAAGGCACAAGCTTTTGTGAGCAACTGTTCACTTCATCAGATGCATAAAGTGAGGATTTGGACTGATTTGTTAAATCATGATTTTATAATAAGCAACAATAGAAGCACTAGAAAGCTGTACAGATATTTGGGATATTATCCCAAATATTTCAGAATACAGGTAGTCCTTGATTAACGACTGCTTGTTCAGAGACTGTTTGAACTTGCAATGGCACAGAACAAGTGGTACTTATGATGGGTCCTCGGAGTTCCAGCCAATGCAGCATCCCATGGTCATGTGGTCACCATTTGCGACCTTCTTTGCTGGCTTCTGACAAGCAAAGTCAACGGGAAAGGCGGCAAGAGGTTGCAAATAGTAACCACGTGATGTCCTCCCTTAATAACCTGTGGTCGTTCACTTAGCAGCAGCAACCAGGAGTGCCGGGATTGCCATCGCTAAGTGGCATGGCCACATGATGTCACACTTTATGACCACGTCACTTAGCAATGGCAATTCCAGTCCCAATTCCCACTGTTAACTGAGGACTACCTGTATTCTTAAATATTTGGGATAATATCCACTTGAGACTTGTTTAGAAAATCACTTATGAACTTGCTTATCTTCTGGCTAAAATTCATTTTTCCAAAGATCAGGTCTTGACTCAGAATTGTCCAGTTTAATTTCTTTCTTTAAAAAGGGATGATGATGATGATGATGATAATTTACTAAACTGGTATGCTGCCCAACTCTCAACGACACTGGGCAGCTTACAACAATCAAAGAAATTACAATAAAACATAAAAACTAAAGAAAAAAAGATGGCAAGTGCGATGAAGTGAGGGATCTCACTCTTCCTTGCTGAAGGCCTGGGTGAAGAGCCAGGTCTTTGTCGCTTTTCTAAAGCCATCCGATCTTGGGGGGAACCATTCCAGAGGACAGGTGCTGCTACAGAGAAGAAGTGCTTCCATGCTCCTGAGAGATGGCATTGTTTAATCGAAGGAATCTGGAGTATGCCTATCCTGCAGGATCAAATTGGCCGGGCAGATGTTATGGGAGACACGCAGTCCCCTACATGTCCTTATGCCATGTAAATCTTGAATTGCCCCCAGAAGCAAATTGGCAACCACTGCAGTTTGCAAAGCAGAGGTTAGCCTGTCTATTCTGATTAAAGTGGTGGATCGGATATCAGACGTACAGACCAGCCTTTGCTATCATGGTGCCTTCCAGATATGGTGGAAGTACCACTTCCAGAATTTGGTGGTTGTAGTCCCAACCCATCTAGAGGCACCAGTCTGGCAGTGATGATGTACACAAAACCCCAAGCTCCTTTTTCAAATCCCCCAGAACTCCTCAGATTTAGATCACTGAAATGCAGTAGCAAATATTTGAATATTGGCATCACAGTTTCCCACTGATTTCCTTTGGGAAACAAAAGCAAATGAAAGTCTTTAAATAGGCTTAGCACCCTATCAAATAAATAGTAAACATCAAATATTGAAGATTATTGTTATCCATTCTTATTTTCTACTGCAAAATGTGAAAGATTCTAACAACATCCAGTGGACGATCATACTAAATGGCACTATACATGAAATGTTTATAATTCACCATAGTGAATAGAGCATGAGTATAATCCCTTATCTTCATTTATAACAGTAGAAGATTTATTTTAAATTCTTAATTTTTATGCAGTAACTTGCAGTGTTTTCAGTATGTACACATGTACATATGTGTTACTGCAAGAGAAAAACAATGGACATTTTAAGTGTGCACTACTTAACCACTTACTGTACATGCTTTAAGGATTGATGTTTGATTCATCATCTCGGAAGTAGTAGTATCTCACAAAATAAGCCAGAATGATTCATTGCTTAATAACTAACTCTTGTGGCTTTAAATTACTTCATGATGTTTTTTACTACTGTCTGGTCTAGCAAATTAGTAGTGTATTATATGTTTGAAAACTAACCATCTTTCTTTCCTGTACCTAAGTTAATATTTGAAACTGAAATAAGTTGGTTTGATCTTCTAGAGAAGATGTAATAAAAAGTTATCCCTTGATGTGAGTTTTTCCTTTTAGAAATGCCTAACTGGTTTTCTAAAATATGACATGTTAAATGATCCTCGTTGTAAAGAAAAGTGCATTTACAAGTTCCTGATGTGACTGCTGCTATGCAGAACCATTCTTTGTATAAGTATTTTGGGTCAGGCTGTGAATTTTTTTCCTTTTCCTCCTTCCCACTAAAATCATTGAAATATATTCCGTCAGTCTTTCACATCAGAGGTGTAAATGGATTTCTTGAAAGGGTTTTTTTTTTTTTTTTGAATGGTAAAAGGCAATCACTTCACAACTTTCACTCCATTATGGGCTGCATCACAGAGCTTAACATACCAACCCAACTTTGAGAATGCTTTGCTGTTCAATGACCTTGCCTCTGCAAGGGCAGATGTCCAATTTGTGCAAAGAAATGCTCTGCCACAGCACTTCTGTATGCTGCATGTTTGACATCACTTGGACGAAAAGCAGCCAAGTTGAAGTTTATAAAACAGATTTTACTTTTTTTTTCTTGTGCCCTGGGATGGAAATGAGATTATCCCTTTATCTTTCCTTGTTTGTTTAAGGCATTGGTACTGTAGGGTTATAATATACAGGGAATAGGGATACATCTGTATTTACTTTGGAATGCATTTCAGTTTAGTAATCTTAAAATGTAGAAGACTAAAGCATAAGTGGAGAATTTCTAAGTAACTCTTATTTTCTACTGGTGTTCTCTGACTCCCAACAAAATATGCACATTAATTTAGCCTCTTCTACTATTTTATGGCTTTTCATGTGGGTAATGATATCAGACAATAAAAATAGGTTCCAAAGTAAAAGTAAAGTAGTTTTTGGTCAAGCAGTGCATATCTTAAAATTTACTTGTTTACACTTTTAATAAAATGTGTACAACAAATGATTTTTCCAAAATCTTCATGTTTTAACCCATACTATGGCAGTTAAATTTTTTTTTATCTTTAAAAAAATAAATATGAGGAAAGTGGATACTGTTGTATAGCCCACAAGAGCCTGAAGTGGGGAAATGGAAAAGGAAATCTTACTCACTAATGGAAGTCTGTTAGCACAAGTTTGGGTTCCATTCTACTCTTCTCAAAAAGACTTAGCCTTCTAAGGATGGGAGTGATTAGAGTCTTATTTCCAGTCCATTTTAAGTTGTTATAATGAAAGAAACTAAACATAAGAACCAGTATGATCTAGAGGTTGGAAAAGCAGATTGAAACTGAGAAGGACTGAGTTTAAATTCATTATCACTTGGTGTAAACATACCTTAGCTAATGCAAGGATAAAAGAGGAGAAAGGAAAACAGTTTTTCCATTGCTTTGAGCTCCTTGGAGAAAGCAAAAGACAAAAAAAAAGTACTATTCAAACAAATGAGGATGCTTGTGTAGGGAAGTGGTGTAGAAAAGCAAGAACATGGGAGATTAATGATTTCAGACTTACCTAATTGTAATTAAGCATTTTAAAATTATATAAAATTCAACATAGTAAGTATCTAGTGCTGGTTAGTTACTCAACATTCTTTGGCCAGACCACTAGAAAGTGCATTTCTTCTTGAAAAGTTGGGGAAAATATTGTTTTTTAAATTGTTCATAAATAAGAACTTTAGATTATAGTTCCTCATATTATGACCTTTTGGCTTAATCTAGAATTAAGAGTCTCAGAGTTGTGTAGCATATTTATATTTAGAAAACCATAGTTAATAACTGTTTAGACAAAGTAGCTTTGAAGGGAAGAGCTGCTTATGGTACTGAATTAATATTCATTGAGTAACAAACTGCTTTTGTTAATTCATTATTAAGTACTGAGTGGGCAAAGAGAGAATTGACATTTGCTGATGTAAAGATGATGTTTGACATGTTATCTCCCAGACCTAAAATCTTGAGACTTAAAATCTTGTCTTATGCCCAGTGATCAGCCTTAAACCTCTTTGCTGTCACCGAAGAAAACAAATCTTTTGCCTTCCTTTGCCTCAGGGATGCGGAGAGCTGAAGTGGTCCTGTGTGACTAAATTAGATGAAAGACTTGCCTTCCCACCATGGAGACACAGAGTCTAATCAAGTGAAATGAGTTCTGAGATACCAGCTCACTTCCTAGGGGATATCAGTTTACATTACAAAATCACACGACACCTAATTCATCACAGTTGATGCAGACTTTACTCAGGAGAGGGCCATAGCTCAGACAATAAGATAGTAAGCCACCTGTCCCCTTTATGGTAGGGCCTGTTTATTAAGCATGGAAGGTTCTACAACTTGCATATTTATGGAGTGCATGCAAGAAGCAAAGAGATGTCTAAGTTAGAAGTGGAAAAATCTTGAAGACATAACCTGTTAGTTGCAGTTAATATAGATATTTCCCAATTCCTTAATCTGTGTATGACTCTGAAATGTCCTTTGCTCACAATAAAGAAATCTTTTTATAAACTTGTTTGTAAAAACTGCAGCTTTTCCAAAACTTTTCCAAAATATTTTTGTCTTCAAAAATATTAGAAGTACTGTGTCCAACATTACAGGCCCTACTGGTTTAAAATTCTTGGGGTTGCAGTCCCAACATTCCTGTAAGGTTTAACATTGGGGAAGCTGTGCTGTGTTATCACAAATCATCCTGTTCTGTCATAAGAATGACATTATAGTGAGTTCATAAGTAAATGTCTGGATGTTTAGGGGGAGCATCCCTAAGGTTTTCCTGCATTCACATTTGATGTGGCAAAGAATATCTGTTTTATAACCTAATATGTTTCTTGATTTCTTCCAGGGCATTGTTATAACTCCTTTGCTCCTACTGCTTTTTGTGAGTATCTTAATATTGATCCTACTTGAGTTACTATATTGCTATTACTGTCCTATTGTAAATGGGTTGTTGCAGATTATTTTAATTGATGGAAGGATTTGCGGTCAGTCTTTTGCATTTCTTTCACTTTCTTCTTAATGATACATTGTACTTTCACCAAAACAAGTATTTGTAGTTCTGTAGCATGAAATTCCAATTAAGATCGATCAACTCCTACACGAAAGAATTAGCTCTGTATTGTGTGGCAAAATGCCCTCAATGAGCTGTCTTGTCTGCCGACTCATTTAGCTTTGGACTAAAGCCACACTGCTGGTCGGAAAGGGTAAGGCAAGTGGAGGCTGATGGTCTGTATCCTTGCTGTTGTCACTGCTTGAACATAAGGGAAGAGCAAGAGCAAAGGGGGAAAAAAGACAGTATGGACCTTTGCAAGTGCAAAAGGATGTTGGCTCCAAATATAAGTATAGCACAGAATCTGATTTCCTCTGACAGTCCTGAAGGGGAGAAGGGCTTTATTCATGTCAATCCAATATTGTAAGTAAAATGACAGGATTCTTCCCCTGTTCAGGCTTATGGACAGCAATGGCTTTAAAATCCTAAGAGGGATGGATTGTTGTTGTTGAACTTTGCTTTAGTGTACAGTAAATATCATATAGAAAATGTTGCCACTTACAATTCCATATGGTGTATGCACCGGTTTTGTTTTGTATAGAGAAGCTTCCATATGCATTGTTTGGTTATCTATCTAGTAAAAGATAAAGACGCTCTCAAATCAAGGTCAAATCAATTCCTCCATGCAGTTTTCTTGATAATAGCATGGGAGTGGTTTTCAAATGCTACCTTCTGGGGTTTGTTGGTTGGTTTTTGACTCCCCGGTCTAGCCCTAGTACTAAAAGTCAAAGACCACAGTAAAAAAATGGGACTGAAGTTAAATATAAAGAAGACCAAACTAATGGCAACAGGTTGAACCACCAGGCTTAGAATTGACAATGAAGATATCGAAGTGGTGGATGGCTTCTGCCTTTTAGGATCAACCATCAACAATAAAGGAACAAACAGTCAAGAAATACGCCACAGACTAGCACTTGATAGAGCAGCCATTAAGGCCTTGGAAAAGTTATTCAAATGCAGTGACGTGTCTACCTACAAAGATCAGAGTCGTGCAAGCCATGGTATTCTCTGTGATACTCTATGGAAATGAAAGTTGAATTTAAAGAAGCAGGATAGGATGATTATTGATGCCTTTGAACTTTGGTGTTGGAGAAGACTTCTGAGAATACCATGGACAGCCAAAAAAACAAACCAGTTGATCATCAAACAAATCAACCCAGAATGTTCACTCAAGGCACAAATGACCAGGCTCACATTATCCTAATTCAGACACATTATGCAAAGATTCATCTCTCTGGAAAAGGTTCTAATGCTGGGAAAGGTGGAAGGAAAGAGAAGAAGAGGATGACCACAAGCAGGATGGGTGGACTCAGTTACAGTGGCAATGAGTGCACCATTGGGAGACTTAAAAGAACAGTTTAGGGATAGATCGTCACAGATCTATGTGATCACTAGGAGTCGAAAATGACTTGATGGCACATAATCAATCAGTCTGGCCTACAGCTTTCTCATATCTAAATAGGCATGACCCTGTTTATCTTCTAAGCCCAGACAGGTTTGGGCAGCTGTTTCCACCTTCCTACACTTCTCTTTTTCCTCCTCTTCCTCCTCCTGCTGCTGCTGCTGCTGCTGCTGCTGCTGTTGATGATTATAGAGGCATAATATCAATGCAATTTATGAAGGCATATAGCAACTGAAAACCAAATAGCAACTGAAAAAGAGAAATAAGAAATTTGAATGGAAATATATTATCCCAGGTACATTGGCTATTCATGCTATATTTAGATCTAAGACATGATTTAGAATGAATATATTCCCCCATGCTGCCAAACCTGACCTCAAAGAGGAGAACCTGGTCTTAAAAATAGTCTAGTTTTAAAGTCTGGGATATATAATTGGTGCCTCCTATTTTGCATTGCTTTATCAAGTCTCCAAACTAGCCGCAATAATGAGTGTATTAATATATATTGTATTTATGTGCAGTTTAATAAGACATAAATTTCCTTACAAGATAGTTCATATGCATTGATGGTAATATACAATTTGTCCCATTTATGGAATATTAATTCCTGACAGCATATAATACTTTGATTTTTTTTTCATATTCCTGTTAATGCAAAATAAATAATATTAATTCAGTTGTTAAAGTAATATTGAAATACACATGGGAAAAAGTGAAAATATACAATAGATTGTACATTGTGTAAGATGTATTCCTTAAATATATTGATAAATTAATGTATTACAATAAATAAACATAATAAATGACTTATTGTACCTTGAAGTTGGAACAGTTGAGGTTTCTGGTAATAGTAAGCTTATCTACCAATCAGTACTGATTGTTACTCATGGTAACAACTGTTAATCATGGTAAACCAGATTTCTCAGAAATCTGGCTATTATGAACAAGCAACATGCTAGTATATGCTTCTTGATCCCTTTTACGGACTCCTCTGACTAGTGGGAGTGACTAAACAAAACAGGCAGCTCCATCCATGGTTTCTAGGCAACCAGAATCATAAAACATTTCTTTAAAATGGCTTCTGAGTGTGATTATTTTAATGAGGAATGAATTAGAATCCTTAATATAGTGACATAACAAAATACCTGGGTCTAAAACACCCTTGTTTTGTCTATTTCTGCAAATACTTTCAATAGCTATGTTAGCATCTGATTCATTCATTTTCTATTACAATATGACTTACGAACCAAATGTTCTATTTTACAAGCAAAGTTTGTCCAATTAAGCTTTATCTGATGATGAAGTGTAACACACTTGTAACCACACACATTCAACATTTTGAACTCCAAGGAATGTGTTACCAATGGTAGAATATTTTCATATCAAATCTAAAATATTATTAGAGGTACCGCTGTGTTATTCTAAATAAAAGGCAGAGCTGTCTCTTTATATTTATTTCCATAGTAGAAGGTACTACTAGGAGCCGAGTAGCAGTCTTCACCACCAGCATAACCATGTGCTAAACACAAATCATCTCAAAATTCATGACTCGGTGAAGACATTTTTATTCATCTGAATGTTTTGGTATATATGGTATGAGTCACTCATTATAAGCAGTTATTATAGCATGTTTTCCTTCTTTTTCCTTTTTTTGAAAAGAAGTATCACAGTAGCAAAATATATACTTTCCTTCTGCTAACTTGCCAGTATTATGTTTCCTTATCATGCCTTGGAGAAAGGATTGCTTCAAAGTATTGGTGTGGGGGAGAAATGGTCTAATGCAGGGTTCCTCAACCTTGGCAACTTTAAGACGGGGGGGCTTCAAAACCCCCAAATTTCCCCCCCCAAAAGCTCGCTATAGGAAATTTTTGGGTGTAAACAACCCCACTTTTAA